TTATCACATTTATTCACTAATTTATTAATAACATACAGGGTATATATACAGCTGTATGAACAAACCCAATCCAAAGTCATAGTGACGGCGAACGTAAAAATATCAATTTCAATTATTATTGTTGTTTGTAAATGGAATTTTTAAGTTCATTTTGGTTGGTTTTAATGGTTTATTACGGTCTGGGGATCGAGCGTTGGTAGAATTAGCACATTAACAGGGTGCCGAAAATAAAAACGTTAATGCACTTTGTTCTTTATGGAAATTTATTTCAACGTGGGCGGCGGCAGTGGGTAAATTAAGTTTTCGGTCGGATTGCGCCGCGACAACCGGATGCAGTAGCGAGAGTTTGGGCGCATTCTTTTCAAGTTTATACAATTCCCGAGATTATGCTCGGTTTTCAACAACGACTTTTTTTCCGATTCAGATAAGGTAAACAAGGCGAGGTAAACAGATTTTGTTTTGGACCGTAAACTTTATGAACCCGCTAATTTATGCGCTAAATAGCTGTGTTCTTTAGTACATGGATATTATTCAATTATTTACGGCGTTGCTAAATGAAAAATGATGTGGTTAATGGCAAAAAAAGCTTTTTTCGATGAATAATGTAAATCAGATGGGAAGGAAACGTATTGTGCATTACGTATTTATGTGTGTCATTAAATATCGCTTTAAGCATTTTAAATGTTTTTTTATAAACATGATTGTTAACTTCTAGTATATTTACTCGATTCCTTTTTCATTTTAAAGTATACAAATGAGTTCAAAATACTTCAAATAGATACAAATTACTGTAATCATTTTTTATAGGTAAGTAAGAAATGTATTTCATTAACGTCAACTTTATAAACATAAAATAACTACTGTATTCTACTTATAACATTAAATAAAGATATTGTCTTGTGTTACAAGTCGTGTTTGTGACAATAATATCTATACCAAATCAAAGTGACTAATATATCATCTCTCAACTTAAGAAAGTTATGATGGTTTTGCAGCAAATGAGAATTAGGTACAAGGAATGTTGTAAAATATGTAAATGACTCCTTTCGACTGTCAATTTGTTCTTGTGAAAAATAGCGAACTTGGTCCTAAATAATCCTATTTTAATAAATTAATAACTTAAATTTCTTATTGCTGTGGATGTTTGGCACAGATCCAGAAGCAATTGTGTTATACATTATTCATGGTGTTATTGTGGTGGAAATATTACATGATAGTTTAGTTAGGAGCAGTTTGGTCAAATGTCGTTCACTCATGATCGATCAATGTCGCTGATTAAGATATAAAACTAATAAATATAAAAAGATATTTCCAGATGTTCTGTGATAGTGACTTGAATACTAAACGTCCATAATAGATAAGAATATTAATGAACTGAGGTAGTCTATAAAAGAGAAAAAGTCGAGATAATAGACCCAGAAAATGTGACGACAAATTGTACAACAAGAGGACATGGAGATCCTATCAAGTGAGGAATGGTGAGATTAAAAGACGATACAAAATTTGAAATGTGTTCATACCACTTTCCATTGAGTGTTGAGATATCTGGAGAAGTGATCAGTGCTTTGAGTCCAAGGATAAGTCTGTAGGAAGCTTGAGCTGAACGGCACCGAGAAGATTATTACTGAATATTTGTCTGCGAAGAATTTACAAGTTTTGTAAAACTTAATGTATGGTATAGAAACGTTTATTTATATAGTTTATGGTTTTTATGACTATCCTTTATGCTGCTACCGCCTCTGTCTATTTTTAAGTGTTTTTAGTTGTAATGTGCTGCTACCGACACTTGAGTCTGTTTAAAATTTATTATGTTTTAGGTTACTTAAATTTAATATGACTTAATGAGGTTTGGGTCATGTAAATGTTATGCCCTTACCTGCTCACGTTCCAGGCGTTAAGGATGTAATTGCGTATGGTGGCGAACATAAATATTTTTGTTGGTCATTCACGTCACACTGACCGTGGTAACCGTATATAAAGCGTAAATATAAACTCTGCTGTAAGAAATTAATCAAAACATTAAACATACAGTTAATCCAAAAAGTCTTTGTACACAAGATTTTTGAATGATTTCTTAAATTATTTATATTGAGCAGAAAAAATAAAAAAAAATTATGCCAAAAATAATAACATAAAAATAAAAACTATTTTAATGTTTTTTCAATTTCACATCTCGCCCAAAAACTTGGTCTTTAAAGATCTTACTTTAGGAATTTTACACGTACAAAATTAGATTCACTCAGATTCATTGTTTAGACTCTGGACCAGTTACAATGTGGAATGGCTATGTTAGTAAACAAGGAAGACAATTAGATGAGTCAACTAATTTATTTGCTCTAGATTCAAAGATGGTAACAATAAGTTGTTCCAACAAAACAACACCACGTGCCATATCATGCAAGAACTATGCAATTAAGACGGAGAGAATTGTTATCTTAAAAGTACATAGCATCGATCCCGATTTATGTGCTCGAGTTATTTAAAATATATATAGATATCTGACACAAGATGCTCGAATATATCATTTCAAATTCGATTACAAAAGCTTCTTTGGAATAGCTATTAATAGTATAAATACAAAGATGTATCCCTACACCTATTTACAATATATCGAACCTTATTGATGGCTTTTAATGAACCTATTTATTATTTTAAATTACGGACAAATATGAAAATTTTTAACCCGGAATTGAAAATTTTCGATTCTAATTTTAATCTATTTTTTAGATTAATTTTAGATGGCGACTTTGTGGTTACAGAATTAGTACCTTATACATTATCTTCTACACTATATGTTATAGATAGAGTCTATGATTCGCGTAATTACATCAAATTGCTTGTGGGATGGCTATGATCAAGCTAATCACCTGCATCAGCTATAACAATTTAAAAATGCTGCAACGTCACGTGGTTTAAGCACGTTGATTGTGGTTTTAATGTGGGAATCCATGTTGCAAGATAAAATAATTACAGAATAAAGTCTTAAATGTTTTTTACTTGTTTTATTATTATAATGTTGATAATAATGCTAATTAATGTTAGCGCTCATAGATTGAATCCCGAATTGTCTATATGATGTATAAATCAATTGTTGTATATTTTTATTATACTAAAAGTGGAACTATCATTAGATCTAGAGCTAGAAAAATTCGGGTTTAGCCGTCTTAGGTCCATTACTACCATCTTTTAGTTAAATTTATCTTATAGATAAACCCATCTACTGCCCAATCAGAGCGCACAAAATAGCCGTAACCGTGGTAATAATCTCTTAGATAGCTTAACCAGAAGATGGTAGTAACGAGCCTTAAAAGATGCACCGCTAAACCCGAAACTTTCTAGTCTAGTGTTAATTCTAGGTTTAGTTATTATTCTGTGTTAGATTGTTGTATAGTTTACATAGAACTAAAACTAGAACAAGACAGTTTCAGATTTAGATGTGCGTCTTCAGAGTCTTTAAAATGAAAATTAAAAATTTTTCATATAACTAAGTTTTGAATATAATGGATACTCTCTTCTCTTTAAAAGTGGGCCTTAGCCTGTTATATCGAGGTTTTACTGTATATGATTCTAAAGCATTATTCTGAAATTGTATTTTCTTACCAGCTATTTTTATTTCCTCTCTAACACATTATTTACGCCAAGAAAACAGGTTGCCGACGACAACGTTCGTGAATCATTTAGAAGGATTCAAGTTAATTTCCTCTTCCCAATGTAGCAGAGAGAGGCGTAGGCGTTCTTTGACATTTGGGACCGTCCCGAAATTGCGATTATCGCGAGAGTCGTTAAGGAAAGTGAAAAGTCAGGTCGTGTGCGACTAAAAACGCCATTTGCTCACGTGCGGGCGTTTAACGTCGTCGTCTAAAAACATACATTTGTCAAAAATCTTCCATCGATCCAAACAAAAGTGTAAAAAAAAGGTTCGTTGTTTGCTTTCGAAACGTGATGTTTTATTGATGACACATTTATCACAAACGGGTTGCTTCAAATCGAAAACGATCTTATGTAACGAAGATATAACGGTTTTTTTTAACGTTTCGATTTAAAATAAATATTAGGTGTAATTAAATAAGATGCTAATGTACAATTCAAATGAGAGTGTAATTATGGTAATTGATTTTTGCGTGTTACTTAATACATAATAAACATTTGAGTTTGCGATGTCGATGAGAAAGTTAAAATGAATATAGTTTTAAGATCTTTGGGGATGTTCTTAGGAACAAAACAAACATTTACTCGTAGTCAACAACGTGTAACCTCGAGAAAAACGTCTCGTTTCTTGCAAACATTTAACCAATTAGCGTGTGATGATATTTCGGAGAGTGTCACGTTTCAAGCAACATCTATTTAGTAATCTATTCGCAAATATGCCAATCTTTAAAGACAAGCAGAAAAGAGAATGAAAATAGTATTAAGAATGTTATTTTTCGTTAATATTTACAATTAGCTTTTAAAATTCTTGGCGTGGGCGTCCCCACCAAAAACTGACATACATCATTCGGATGCCAGAAGACTGAAAGGACGCTGTACGCGGCGCCGTATATTTTTATGTTACGGTAGGTTAGCATCTGGCGATGTAAAAATATTTATCTAACGGCCACCGACGCTTAAAACTCATAATTCGACTCTAAAACTGAGTGGCTTCGAACCGAACTAAACAAGTTTGTAAAATAACTTTCAATTGGTAAATTTAATTCGCTAAATTCTTATCTTATTAATTCATCTTTAAAAATGCATCGTTTAAAACAATTATGTAACATAACTCAAAACCTAATCTTATCTTTTCGAAAAATATATATCCAACGGATAAAAATACTCATAAGGGGGGCCCGGAGATTGTTGTGAACGGAGACAGAACACAAAATCCGATTTCACCTTTCTTATTCCGTCCGCTTTCTCCTCACCGCAAATTGCGACGCCAAACGTTGTCGTCGTCGTGTAGCCTTCGTCACATCCATGACGTCACGACCATCTAAGTTCTTGTTCATTTTGAAACTCCGCAGGTGTCTATGATGTCCGACAATGGGGTCGACGTGTCGAGCGGAATGGCGCACATCAAGAAGGAGATGGACGGCTCGTTTGCGGAGTGCTCCCCGTCCAACAGCGACATGTACTCGCCTACGACGACGGTGATGCACGATCAGGGAGTGAGTACCAGAGCGCGCCCCCTTCATAGTATCTCTCGATCCGGCGCCCGAACGCCCTATGTTCTTTGCAGATCGAGTTCACCGACAACAAGGTGCAGTATGAGAAGCTGAAGTCTCCGGGGAGTCCAGATAGACAGTACTGTTCTTCTACTACCCAACCACATACCGACTCAGGGATTGGAATTGTTGAGGTATGTATAAAAAAATAAGAAAATGAAATTTTTAGGAATAAAATTTGTTATTATAAGAAACAATTCAATTTCTTCTAATAACATAATTGATATAAGCAATACATTTTGTGGTAGTAACATTTTTTCTTGTTGTTTGGAACAAATAATTCCAAGCTTTGTAGCGACAATTAACTTCACCGTCCCTCGATCAAGTATCTGCCTCCAGTCCATGACCTCCTCCCTCAACTCGTCACACCTGCTCACCAGATGTTCTTATCCATATAAAATTTACACATTCTCTCTTTATTTCCCATTTAATACTTATTCCTCCTTTTTGTATTTCCATATATGAATTTCCTCAACAACGATCTTGTATTCTCTTAAACCTCAAGTTTCTAATTCCAGAGCAAATATTACTTTGAGTTGGTTCAAAATTAATTTTAAATTAAAATTAACGTTAAACATTGCTTTAAGTTTTGAGATTATTAAGTCATAACCTTGGGTACTTAATCGAACTTGTAGTTGTATAACATCTTTAGGGTGAGTTGTGTATTGAAAGTAAAATGATATTTTCAAAAGCCCAAGAATGTGATTCTAGAATTCATAGTGGCAGCTGTTCATTAAACTGATGCGTTTCTTTTATTATATTTTAATAACGTAATCTTTATCAATATAAGCAATACATTTTGTGGTGGTAACATTTTTTTCTTGTTGGTTGGAACAATAGTTACTACATAAGATCAATTACATCCTGGATCATAATTCCAAGCTTTATAGCGACAATTAACTTTATCGTCCCTCGACCAAGTATCTGCCTCCAATCCATGACCTCCTCCCTCAACTCGTCACACCTGTTCACCAGATGTTTTTATCCCTACAAAGTTTACACATTCTTTATTTCCCATTTAGTACTTATTCGCCCTTTTTTCCACATCTAAATTTTGCCAATAACCACTTCTAATCTTCTCTGACATTACAGTTACTTTCCGCCCGTTTGTCCTTTTTCGCCCGTCTTCCTCATACTAATGAACACCATAATCCTTTATGATATTCCTAGTTTCCATATTTACCCACATGCATAAATTATCCTTATTTATATTCTTTGATCTTCTGACTTCGTATACTACATGTCCCTGATAATCAATTGAAATCATTACAGAACCTTTTAATATAAGCTCTACTCGTAATAAACTTTCTAAAAGTGTCCGCATTTTGTATTGATACTAGAATTGGTTCTCTGCGAAGTTTGCTTCTCGATTCAGCTTCTACTTCATTGTCATTTAACAATCGCTATAACTTCTTTCATGATGATTGTATTATTCTCTCACGTACACTGCTTAAGACCTCAGTAAATACGGTATCTTTTTAGTTCATGTCTTTAACGTTTTGTTGATATCATCTTCTGTTCTTCGCAAAATAGCATTCAACAGGAATTCTTTGTAATTAATCATTAGATCACATCCTGATCCATAGCTTAGAAGCCTATTCATTACAATATGATGACCAGTTTCAGGTTGATATAATGTTAATCATTCAGCTTCGGCCACAAGCAACCTCACCTGATATGTATTTCTGAAAAGCTTGTCGAAGTTATTAGATCGCCTATTTCACTTCAACGATTTACTACCCCACTCCTTCTTCTGCGCAACTGACCGTCCAAAATAAATTTGTCAAGTTGTAGGTGATAATATTGCAATGAGTACAAAAAACATAAATTGAACTGATGTTCCAACTGGGAATTGAAGAACATCTTTTAAGGAAAGAAATCAAAAGTCGCCTAATTCAGCTTTTATTGTACAAATTCAATACCATTTGAAAAATTGTGGTTTTTTAAATCTTCAAGTTTCTGATTCCAAAATTAGCAGCAACAGTTGATTATCAATTTGATACATTACACTATTTTGGCATGGATCTGATTGATCAGCAAATATTACTTTGAGTTAATTCAAGATTATTGTTTTTGAATTCGAAACAACTCATGATCAATTGGCGTGCGTTTGTTCCAACAACAGTTGTTCCTTTAAGTATTGAGATTATTAAATCATAATTTTAGGTACTTAATCATAATTTTAGGTACTTAATCAAACTTGGAGTTGCACAACAACTCAAGACTGAGTTGTGTATTGAAAGCAAAGTGATGTTTTCGAAAGCCCAAGAATGTGATTCTAGAATTCAACCCAAAATTTGAGTTTTTAAACGACAAACTACAACATGGTTCATGGTATAACTCGTTAATTTATTTTTTTTTTCTTTTTTACTGTGTTTATGTGTCTCATTCAAATTTTAATTATGAACTGAATCGTTTTTATGGGCTTTGACAGTTCCTTTTCGAGCCTCTCAATATCTCTAAAAACATCGGTATCAACTCGAAAGATTAATTATAACAAGTTACTTATTAGTTACTGTTTGAAATCAATAGAATATGTTCTTACAAATGTTATTGAAAGTTGTCATATTGCATGTTCCATAAAATTTCTTACTCTTTGCACTTTGCACATTTATTGATAATTTGTTAATTACCTCATCTTTGTGAGAATACCCAGTTGAAATATGTCTCAAAGTATTTTTGCTTGATTTACAAGTAAACTACGCTTTGATGAAATGTGACATAATTTCACTTGCCAAAGAAAAACGTGAGGCATTTTGTGCTGATACTACAATTGGTTGCTGTTGTAGTTTCCGGGAGTTTGTTAGCTAAGTAATTATAATTTTTGCAAGAGGCTATATTGCTGGCTCTTATGAGAACGATGTCTCCCACTGTATTTTTTCCTTTTGTACTATTGTAGAGTTGTTAAATAAGCAGTGGAACATGTTTGTTGTTTAATTTTCCTCAACTAAAAGATATATTTATTTCTGTATTCATTATTACGAGATCTCGTGGTTCTGCTATTAGCTGTAATCATGAGAAAGTTGCTTCTGCAAGTCTTGTGTTTGACAACAACTATAACCTAGCTTTCCAGTATAAAGGTGCAGCTATATGGAAATGCAACATCTGCGTGGCAAAAAGCCTTTATCACATATTGGGTGTAATTCCCAAGAATAAAATTTTACTTTCCACATTTTGATCCCCAGCTTAATTGAGAAATATGACACTTTGGTAATGCCGTACAGCTCTTTGTGCATTTCTTTCTTTAGACTTTTATTATTGTCTTCATTTCTGTCCTTATTATTTCTCCACCCTGTTATTCAGAATCTTTCTCTTTCCTTTCCCATTTCTCCTTGCAGAATTGATTGATCACAAAAACAAATAAGAGTTTCTTAAATACTAAGTGATTGTGCAAAATCATCATCACATTCATAAATCCGCTATCCATTAAGAGAAAGATTCTCTGCCTAATCCTGTTCTTTATATTTGTAGTAATCAAAAAATATTAGAAGTAAATGAAATGTTTCAAATTAGGATCAGATTCAGTACCTACAATCAATTTTATCAAATAGAAATCTCTTAAGAAATCCGAAAAACTTTCTCTTCGCTTGAAAAGAATACGAAATATCTAATTAATTTTTTGTAATAATAAAAATTTGCTTAGATTTCATTTATAGATTTTGCTTTCAATTCAATTTCTATGTATTCCCAAAACCCAGTTCACCAAGGTCGTAATGGTTTAATCTGATTAAATCTTCTACGTGACGAATCGGGTCTAGACGCGGTAATCACACCCGGATGGGTTTTATGTAGATCGCTCGAATACATCCATTGCAAATGAGATTCGATTTCGGGAGTAGATCTGCGTTCGGGGAAGTATAAATTACATTCGGGATTTTCCTTTTTGTAGGATGGGATGAAGGAGGAGGATTCTCCGCGGAGACTTTGCCTGGTTTGTGGGGACGTCGCGTCCGGATTTCATTATGGTGTCGCTTCCTGTGAGGCTTGTAAAGCGTTTTTTAAGCGTACTATTCAGGGTATGTATCAGAAAAGAAAAAGAGAATTTGTTTAATTGGGTTAATAAGAAAGGAATGTTATTGAAAAATTCCTGACATAAAGTAGTAGGGTTAAACACGGTGGAAAATGGAAAATATTTTTGATCGAAACGGCATCATCTGACCGCAACCGTCGTAAAGTTAACGATCGCGTTTAAAAAACAAAAATTTAATCGGTATGCGCTCGTTAAGCAACACTTTACGACATAATTTAGCGGTGATAATAAAACGTTGGTGGAAGTTATCCCGCGTTCCTTTGGGTAAAACGTTAAATTTTATTGGTTGTTTTTGGGGAGAAAAACGTAAAATGTTACTTTTAACTTCTATGCCTTAAGCTCGAAGGGGGTTCATTAAAATTACAATTTGATTAGTCTATTAAAAGATCAACAGAAAATATCCTTTGAAATTGCTTCTATTATTAATTCATAGGAAACATAGAATATACATGTCCAGCTTCCGGTGAATGTGAAATAAATAAACGAAGAAGAAAAGCGTGTCAAGCATGTAGATTTACAAAATGTTTAAGATCAGGAATGTTAAAAGAAGGAGTACGATTAGATAGGGTACGAGGCGGGCGGCAAAAGTACAGAAGAAACCCAGAAAGTCCATATCAAGTACAAGTAGTTTCCGCGCAACAACGTGCTACAGTTTGTCTCGATGGTAAGCTCCTCAAATTCCATCATTTCATACAATAATCTCATCCGTATATAACTATTAACATCTAGTTTTAACTTTTATCTTCAGATATTAAGATGTTAGAAGCTTTGGTTAGTTGCGAACCCGAAATATTAGAATCGAACACAACGTTAGAAAATAACAAATACAAAACATTATCGATATTAAGCGATCTGTATGATAAAGAATTGGTCGGAATTATTGGCTGGGCTAAACAGATTCCAGGATTTACAGATTTATCACTTAACGATCAAATGCGATTATTGCAATCCACTTGGGCTGAAATTCTCACATTGACGTTAGCGTACAGAAGTCTACCACTTACTGGACAGAGAAAATTAAAATTTGCTAGTGATTTTAGTTTAGAGGAGAAACAAGCTAAAGAATGTGGAGCTTTGGAATTATATCAAACGGTACAAAATATATTTCATATAATTTTATAAATTTAATTCTTTTCACATACATTTTTGAGTGTAACTATGTTTTTTAGTGTTGTCACGTTTGTGAAAGATTAGAAGTCCTTTCGATACAAAAAGAAGAATACTACCTCTTAAAAGCCCTAGTATTGGCTAATTCCGATGTAAAACTTGAAGAATGTCACAATTTAAAAAGGTTTCGAGATGCGATACTTTCAGCACTAGTTGATGTTGCCAATATACTCAGGTATTTGTAAATACAGTAAAACCTCGATATAACGGTGTCCGTTATATGAAAAACTTTTAATTTGTACTTTAAACTGTTTGAATAAATAATTTTAATGCACACAAAAAGAGGAGGGATATATCTCGGGAATAGGTGCAGAGCTTGCTGGCCCGTTCGTGACGTCACGTATGGGTAGGCAACTACTATTTTACACTTTGAGTCAGCAAATGCTTAATTTATTCTATTCGTGTTTTGTAATGTTTTTAGATTTATATTTAAGGTTCATAATATAAAATAAAGATCTTGATCGAGTTTAGCAGTGCGCCTCTTAAGATGGCTAAACCCGAATGTTTCTTCTAATAGTTTTAGGTTTAGTGTTGAATAACAATTAAAACTAGAACTAACACTAGACCTAGAACTAGAATCATTCGGGTTTAGCCGCACGTCTCTAAAGACGGCTAAACCCGAATGATTCTAGTTCCAGGTATAGTGTTAGCCACCTAT